TTCACACTACTTCCGTTTTCCACAACATATTTATGTGAGCAAAGTTTTTCAACGCTTGTATTAATTAAAAATGATAAACGGTCATGCTTAAAAGATCTTGACCAAGAAATGAGAGTTGCGCTGTCTAAAATTGAGCCGAATATAAAACTTTTGTGTTCAACGAAGCAAGCGCAGGTATCACATTAATCAGTCATCATCATGTCAAAATATTTATTACTATTGACGTGTCAACAGAAGTAAATTTAGTATACCTACCTGTCCTACCTAGTATTTAGTATAGTTCTCATGTATGTACCTATTTGTATTTTTCATTCTGAATAATAAAAAAAAAATAATAAAAAAAAATAAAAAAAAAATATGTATTATGTCCTGAGTGAAAATTTTGATGCCCCAAATCTGAAAGGGGCTTCTTCACATTTTAAAACAATAAAAAAAACTAAGGTAGTTTGGACATCCATAAATAATTAGTATACATGGAGTGAACTGACCCCCGACCTAGCTACGCCACTGCTATAAATATATTTTAGATTTTGGTGTGCCACGAAATTCTAGGGAGCAGTTTGGTGTGCCTCAGATGAGGAAAGGTTGCGGAGCACTGCCCTATACGGTGAACGCAAACGGTTGCGATAACAGGCTAGGAAATGGAGATGCATCAAAAACGCTTCATTCCCTATACCGTGATCGCAACCGTTTGTGAAAACAGGTTTGAAAATTGATTAGCGTCTCTGGCCAGCAGGTGAACTTGGCTACCGAAGTAAATATATTTGTGGTAATCACAGATATTTCTGTTATGTAAGACTTTTCATTTTAATTTGAGCTGTGTCCAAGGCGGTCGGCGTACCAGGTATGGGCTGATATTTTCTCTACGAGAAGGCGTTGCTTCGGTACTTATAGCATTGCGTTTACGGTATAGGGAATGGGGGGTTTTTAGAAGCATCAACATTTCCTAGCCTGTCATCGCAATCGGTTGCGTTCACGGTATAGGGAATGGAAATATGCTTACCGTGTAGAAAATTCCGTACCTGTATATGAATGTGCAGTTGTAGTTATATAATTTTATTGAGGCATATTCTGTAAAACATCCGTTAACATTTAGAGGCCTTTAAAAATTTAACTTTTAGCGGCCCGTTAATTTTTTTAACCAAAAATGGTATTCTGTATACATAAATTTTAGATGCCTGTTAAAAATTATTTATTTTAACGGAGTCCCTTAAAAATGATAGGAGAACACTTGACAACATTGCATTTAAGATTCATTTGAACTAATTTTGAAGGATTATAAGAATAAATTTGAAAACATAACCTTACAAACCCTCAATTTTTAATTCAAAACCAAAACATATACCTACTACATACATTAAAAATAGAAAAAAGTCTCGAGCACCAAGAACTACAAAGAATGGATGATAAACTTCTTAGAACAGCAAAATTTGCTTCACGATGGGAAAATAAACCTAGTAGATACAACAAAATAAAAAAAAAGTTTGGGAAAACGAATTTAATAAAATTGGGCACAGACATCTTTTAGGAAATTTATATTTGTCGTGAAATTTGTTTATTATATTATTTCTTTTATTTTCCAAATTAGGAAATACAGGTTATTGTAAATTATATTTGTTACTTCATCTATACTTCTACTCATAATTGATTGACTTATAGCAAAATGATCCCTGACCTGTAGAAAGTTGGTGTCCTTATACATCCTCCTGTTCCAAAAAAAATTAGTTAAACACGCGACGAATTTTGGATAATTTCCAGCGACTAGGAAACTTTTTAGATTTAAGCATCAAATTAAAAATCACAGATAAGGGTTTACAAAATGAAGGTGCACAATCTTTTACTAAGACTAATACTCCAGTTACCTTTAGCTGGAAAAATTTGCGGAAGTTTTGATATTTGGGGATTTGATGTATTTGGGGGATTTTAACTGCTCTATTCGATTTTTTATTTTGCCAGCTCGTAATTTTGCCGCCGTCGCCGCCATATTGTAATAAATTGTAAAAAAAGGAGTTTTTTCAAGATATCTTGTTACTAGTTGCTTTTATGACAAAAATTACTCCAGTACTTATTAGCATAAGTTCTTTCATTGCAGGAAAGGCGAATGTTGGGAAAACCAATCCGTTAATTTTTTTAAGTCATTGTTATCACGATTAATCCGAGAACTTCTTAATTCAACATGCTCTTCCGAAGTGCTAAACTGTATATTGCAAAAATTTTCAACCGCGTCACGAATATTGTGCAAGAATGACATTCCCATAGTCCACCTAGAAAGTATGCTCTCCTTGACCTCCCGGCCCACGAGTTAGTCCACCTACGGTTTTCATCGTTTGTATTAATGATTTCTCAATAACCATGTTTGACCATGTGTCACACCAAATTTAGTCTGAACGTTTAATTATGTAGCGAATTCCATCTGTAAAAGACCTGTATTCTCTAGGATTCTTCTTTTCTTTTAAACTATACAAATCCTGTAAATATGGCCACCTTTAGCGTACAAAAAATGACCACTAGCATGAAAATAGGGCAACATTTGTTGGATACTATTAAGATGAAGGCCCCAGTTTCCGTTTCTTTTGGCCCCAATAAATTGTTCCATACCATGCAAAAGTAAGAAACCCATAATTTAGCAGTTGGACCACGTTACTAGATGATTTTCAAATTTTAAAGCTAATTCTTTGACGCATTCTTCTTGGACAGCTCCAAGTATTACCGACTTGTCGAAATCGCATAGAATTGCTTCTAGTCCTGCGTGTTGGTCTGGTGATAAATCAATTTCCTGCATGATCATTTTGCGAGATGGACACATGTGCTCCGAACGGACGAGAGTATGCATGACCTGCAATGGGATTCTCATATTTCAATACGGCACGTGTTGAGACGACTATCTTCGTTCCACAGAATGCGATTCTTTTGTAATGTCTCTCTCTATTTGATTCGTTACGTGTTGAGTTCGCACATAAGAATCCCAGTCCAGATAACATCTTTTCAAGTGAGTTCGGTGCAAACATTGTACTTAGAAGCTCGGTTAATCCACTACCATTCATAATATACCCTATGAACGACATCAATAAATAAAAGCCACCTAATCGTATAACATTTTTCAATTTTACTTCCATGCCACTCGAACAATTTGTTTTACTTTAAAATACAGTGGCTGATCAAAAGTGATGAAACATGTTTGCTGATTTAATGACTTTTCTCAGAGGCTGTTGCTAAAACAGTAAAAATCGTGTCGGAGTTAGTCAGTGGTGCATTAATGAAAGGTAAAAAGGCTATAAATGATTTCTGATATGAATTATTTACTGTCACATCTTCCATAAATCCATTCCATCCAGGTATATTAGGCAGATCTGAAGTTGCCGACATTATTGTATTTGTGACTGAAGAAATAGTACGGAGATCTATAATAGGAATTCCGGGTAGACTGGAAAAATTTATCTTCTCATGGCTTCGTAGTGCAATGCTACCAGAATTTTCAACGTACTGAGCTAACGGCATTTTTGTGAGACGAGGAATATTCTGATCAGAAGCAATGACGTTATACAATGGATGCCCCCCATGGCATGAAAAGTGTTTCTGCCATCCAGGATTTGAGTATCAAAGTCCGCATTGTCGAAAACGAACTGTAAAAAGACACTCCCGTCAATACCCAAAGGAGGGCGCATCAAAGCCAAAACTTCAAAAAGTGTTGCTTCCGTGTACGAAGAACAAAATCCTAGTGAAGCCAAGATGTCACTTAGCTTACGAGATCCGTATCCAACTTTTATATTCGAGCGGTAGACTCAATGAATAAAATTCGTATTGCTTTGCACGCTGCGTACTTGCTCAACTTTGTAATTCTCGTACACAAAAACTGTTGGTTTTATGAAAAAAATGATAAGAACCAATTTGGTAGAAAAAATTATGTAGTTTAATTTACTACATATAGTGGTGTCAAACTAGCATTATACCTATAACTTTTTGCGGAGAAGTCGGATCGACATGCGATTTTCTTTAAAATTTTCTAAAAATTATCAGTAACAAAACGTACATCTAACCTCTGTACGCTCGGATATTTATAATTATTTATTTAACAAAATGGACAATTTTCTGTAAGGGTTGACGAGAATATGGAAAACATGACTGGCCGTTCAAGAAAAAGGTCTGGGAAATTTTCTCGGGCCGGTTTTCGCAGACATCTTGTTGATGCCAAAACTATTGTTTATTGTTAAATTGTTGTAAACTAGTTAATTAACAAATGGATATCTCTGCTCCCAAAATCATTTCAGCCCTCGATTTTTTTCCAAAAACTCTGGGTCCTCGGGGAGCAGCATGTTCACTAAATTGTGTCATGCAATTGTTTATTGTTAAATTGTTGTAATCTCGCTAATTAACAAATTGATATCTCTGCTAACAAAATCATTTCAGCCCTCTATTTTTTTCCAAAAACTCTGGGTCCCGGCGAGCAGCATGCCCACTAAATTGTGGCCCACAATTGTTGTAATCTCGCTAATTAACAAATTGATATCTCTGGTCTCGAAATCTTTACAGCACTCAAATTTTCTCCTAAACTTCTGGGTCCTGGGGAGGTGCATGGGCACTAAGTTGTGGCCCACAATTGTTTATTGTTAAATTGTTGTAAACTCGCTAATTAACAAATTGATATCTCTGCTCCTGAAATCTTTAGAGGACTCGAATTTTCTCCAAAAACTCTGTGTCCCTGGGGAGCAGCATCCCCACAAAATTGTGTCACACAATTGTTTATTATTCAACTGCTGTAAACTCGCTAATTAACAAATTGATAACTCTCCTCCAATGAAAATCGAAGTAATGGGATTAAATAAGAACTCTCAGTTAATGGCTGGTAATTGTTGTTTAATTGCAAATGTGAAGATAAGATCAAAGTCAGTCGAATAATACGACGAGGTTTTATTGATGTTTATTGTAAAATACATTGTTAGGTGAAATAAACTTTAAATTAAAATAACAGAACAACTCCTCTTGGTGTACATGTGTTATTCCTAATCTTCATGAAGGTTTTCCTCAATTTCTTCTGTTTCCAAAGAATCAACCAAAGAAAGATTATTCTCCATGTTCGTGTCAAACGTCGGCGAATGTGCAAAATCGACAGCGCTGGGATCGCCATCGTCCGCATCTTCTGCAAGCATGGGTTTGCAGTTTGTGCAATCATTTACGGCACAATTAGTACACGCCGCAGTGCAATATAATCCGGCTCTTCTGCACCCACATACTGTTGCACAACCTGTGGTTGTGCATGAACAAAACATTACTTCTAACAGAGAGGACGGCGCAACTGCATTGGTCATCGGAATTGGTTTGAGAACATTCCTCTTAACATCCAATTCCCAGCCCCAGTCCATGGGGTCTAAAAGGTTACCCATCCAATATTGGATTTGGAGATACACTTTTTTGATGTATTGTAAAGTTGCACAAAAGTACTCTTGTCTTCTTAGATGCCACACTTTTGTTGAAATGATGAAATCTAAATTCATTCAACTTTACATCATACTTTTTTGAACCGTACAAAGCCAAATACATTTTGTTCCACTTGTGACAAGTTCATCTAGGCTAGCATGTGGTTGTTTGAAAATCTTAGCAGCACCTTGTAATTCTTCGGATTTTTCAATACCTCTCCTAGTTTGGTCTTTCCTTTCCCATAAAAGGCAGACGTTGTGTCACATCCTGACAGCGTGTAAGAATAGAATATTTTCTTTAATTACCGGTGAATGATCTAAACTTTTTTATGAATAAGTTGCACCGGGTGTTTTACATTTTGGTGGCTTAATGTAAAATATTTCCCTCTCATCAGGTGTTAATGCAACTAAGATCACTAAAACATCAATGTCTTCCGCGATAATAGCTACCTTTGAATTATTTGTCGAAATTCCCGTTTCTTCTATAGCTGTAGTTACAATAAGCGTATCCGCATCGTCGTTAGCCTGCTGCACGTTTTCCATATTCTCGTCAACTCCCACAGAAAATTGTCCATTTTGTTAAATAAATCATTATAAATATCCGAGCGTACAGAGATTAGATATACGTTTTGTTACTGATAATTTTTAGAAATTTTAAAGAAAACCGCATGTCAATCCGACTTCTCCGCAAAAAGTTACAGGTTTTCATTATTTTCATGCTAGTTTGACGCCACTAATAATCATTTTTACTGCAAAAGCAACGAATAACGAGATATCTTGAAAAATCTCTTTTTTTATTGCAGAGGAGAAACGATTTTTCAGGCCTTGAAACGTTTTTTTCACCGACAAAGCTATTCCATGGAAGAACATTGTTTTTGTTGCGACTGATGGTGCACCATCTATGGTTGGTTTTTTGAATTCTCGGTTATTTGCTCAGCTATGTAAAGAAGTCTTTACTCGGTTACTTCTGCACACTGAAGTTCGCTGGCTATCAAGAAGTTCCTGCTTAGCAATATTTTCAGCTATTTTTGAATTTGTGTTGGAGTTTTTACAAGAAAAAGATCCGAATTTAAAAAAATCTGAACAATTGTAAAACAGATATTTATTACTTGACTGATATCTTTGGTATTTTTAACAATGTTAATTTGCAACTGTAAGGTGACTATCTCAACTTGATTAAAACAAAATTAATATAATCGGCCTTTGTGGGTAAACTTACCCTTTATAAACAAAATTTAAGCAGAAAAGAATATTCACAGTTTCCGCATTTGTCAAAATTATCAGAAATGCTTCAAGACGATGTTATTTTATCATGTCACTCACTTGGACGCATTACACAAGGATTTTACTGAGAGGTTTGAGGATCTCTTAAATTCACAAATTCCTCAATGGATTATAAATTCGTACAATATCATAGCCATGGAAGAAGCCAATGTAAAAAAGCAAGAAGAGTTGATCATCATCAGCACAGATGCATAGTTCAATTAAAGAGTATTAATGTGGAGGTGTTTAGTTTTTTTATTAATAACTAAGTCAAGATTGTTGGCACGTGGCATGTCATGACCATATTAAACATTTCTTTAAAAAAGAAATGGCACCTGCACGCATAAAGGTTTGACATTTCTGTCCTAGGCTATTAGTCCGTCAGATAGTGACCGATTTAGGTGCCCCATTTTCGCATACAAGCCTCTAAGAGGGTTGAAAAGTACATCGATGTTGAGTAGAATAAAAGAAAATTTACGAGTGGCTCTTGGGGATAACACATGGAAAATTCGATTGATTTTCCCTATCAGAAAAATTTTTCAACCCCAAAATGCACTTATACATTCAGGTCATTCAAAAAAATATATTTTTCGGACTAGTGACGATGTACGTTTTCATACATTCGATGTGTGGAAAAATCGGGTAAAACCTCGATTTTTCCTTAAAATATTACGCCCTTATTTCAACCCTTTAGCCACTTGCAGCATTAAAGCCTTAAAGCCTAGTTCTATTAATTAATCATATAGTGAAAACGGCTTGCGTGGAAAAATGGGTAACAAATAACCTTTCATTTTTGTAGGGAAAAATCGAATTTTCCATGTGTTATCCCCAGGAGCCACTCGTAAATTTACTTTAATTCTAGTTAAAATCGATGTACTTTTCAACCCTCTTCGAGATTTCAATGCGAAAATGGGGCACCTAAACATGTCACTATCTGACGGTCTATATGTGTAACCCTACTGACTTAATCGACAAAGATAAAGATAATCTTACCAATTTTTTCTCTTAAATAATATAGGTAATTAGAATTGAGAAAGAAAGTCAGACATAATTTAAACTTTAAAATGAAGAACTGTCGTCAACTGCTAGGCAATTTTGCCACATATGAAACTAGAGAAGTAACGTTAAAACCCAAAAATGTTTACGATATTTATTTGTGGAAACAAGTTTTCTGTCATGTGGGTAAATTGTCCACTGTTCAATTTCCAAATTTTACTGAATGATTCATTCAATTTAATTTAAACCCAAACTTCGCAACTTTAACAATTATAATTACATGTAGAACGTCTGTCAAATGCGATAACCTTACCTCAGAATAGTCAAAATAATTATTCTGAAGCAAAATTGATTGTTTCGAATTGAACTTCTGGGGCATTCCGTCTTCCTGCTCGACTCGAAAACTACCAGACTCGTCGCTAAGTCGACGAAATGGGAAAAGTTTCTGAGTAATTCCGGGTATAGGGAATATGGTCGGAGATGGAAAAAGTTCAAATATTAATTCAGGATAAATATAATCGCTTTAATATGCTTAGAACCCTTTAATAGGATTTTCGGTTTAAGTCCTTTCTGTGATCCCCATATAGATAGTTTAGGTTGAGAAAGGGGATTTATTGAATTTTGATGAAATAGTATAGAGGGTGTTTCAGGTTTAAACAGATATAGCTCAGGGGAAGTCTTGTATAGCACCAATGCCGCCGTGAGACGTTATTTAAAACTTCACAATAAATTTACATAAAAACGAAAAATAAGACACGAAAAATAAACGTTTTACTACTGCACTCCCTTCTAACAGTAATAGACGCATCATATACCAGACAAAAAAAGTATTTTTTGTGATTTTCAAGTTTAAACAAGTTCACTTAAATTATTTTAATCAATAACATGGATACCTTTATTATATACCATCAGGTGTAGCCGAGTTAAAGCAACAACCCATCTAAGAGGCTTTTTCTTTAAGAAAGTAGCACATTTTCAACCTAATCCGGAAAGTACGTATTTACCGGACTAGAGCGAAAACTATTACGTCATTGTTTTAATTGTACTAGGTATTTAGGTATGTTTCAGAAGAATGCAGTTGATCATTACAATAGCAACGGAATAACGACTTACCAATTACTGCATTCGTGCAGACTTTTTAAGATTTTTTTTACGTTTCCAAACATTCTGAGATTGAAAATACAACAAAAAATTCATCTGGTCGTCTGTGTGCCAGCACGATAACTCTAGAAAGAAAGATACGATTGATTTGCAGTTTTGATTTGCTTCTAACCCTATCAGACCATCAGATAGTGACTGATTTAGTTGCCCCATTTTCGCATACAAGCCTCGAAGAGGGTTGAAAAGTACATCGATTTTGAGTAGAATGAAAGGAAATTTACGAGTGGCCCCTGGGGATAACATATAGAAAATTAGATTTTCCTTAACAGAAATAAGAGGGTGTTTTTTGCTCATTTTTCCACGCAAGCCCTTTTCACTATATGATTAATTATTAGGACTAGGCTTCAAAACACCGAAGGCTTTAATGTTGCAAGTGGTTAAAGGATTGAAATAAGGGCGTAATCTTGTAAAGAAAAATCGATATTTTAACCAATTTTTCCACACAAGCCAATCGAGAGTATGAAAACATACATCGTAACTAGCCCGAAAAACATATTGGCTTGAGTGGCGCGAGTGGATAAGTCCATTTTGAGGTTGGAAAATTTAACAGGAATGTTTTTCAATTTTTCAGTCCTTTTCCCATCAACGAAATTGTTTGCAATAAAAACTTATTAATTTAAGAGCCCAGAAAAAAATAATGGCTTGAGTGCAGAGCGTGGTCTTCATATTTTAAAAAAATAGGAAAGTTGCTGAAAAAATGTATGCAAATTGGCACAATTTTCCCACACAAGCCGTTTGATATATGCTTAGAAAAAGTGATTCTAAGACTATATAACAAAAGGCTTGAGTGTCGGACATGGCCATCATAAAATTTATATCTTTATAATTTATTTAACAAAAAGCAGACAAGAAAATCAAGAAATTTCCACCATTTTCTCAAGCAAGCCGTTTGTCATATGCTTAGAAAAAGTAATACGGCCATTTGTATTTTTATTAAACTCTTCAAGTAAAATTGGTTGCCTACAGTCCACGTTCATAAATCAATTTAATTTTAATTCTTTTTATTAAAAGATATTTTTAAGCTCATGTCGAAAAAGAGTCCAGTCCGTTTTGAACCTTCGTATTAAAAACCACGGTTTTTTGTGTGTAAAAATTAGTGCCGGCTTGATAAACAATTCCACCGCAAATTAATTAAAAATTAGTGAATTACTACTTAGAGTAAATTAAAGGATTATTGGTAAGCCATAAATCCCAATTTTTCCCCTTTTTACCCAAATATTCCTGTTCCTTGTTTTTTGGCAAGTCAGACTCCAGATATAGTCGCAGTTCTTGGAAATTAATAAAGGTAAATTTTATTTAATTTTCATTTATATATTTTTAAAATTTCCCAAACCAATTTTAGCCACTTCGACCCGGATTTTGAATTTTGTTGTAACCCAGCTATATATCGCAGTAGTATCGAATTGTAGTTAAATAGTCGCAAGCCATCGTGACCTTGCCAATTTGAATTTTTTCGCGGTGATTTGAAGTATACTTCGAGCATCGATTCGTATATTACCAATTTTTTGTTGATTTTTTTTTGCCTTTATTATTTGTAAATTGCCTTATCACAATAAATTGTTGATTTTCGTTAAAATAAATAGATATTTAGATCAAAATGCCAGATAAAACGGCCGATGAATTAAAATTAGAAAGACTTTTAGGAAAAAGAGAAAATC